CCAGTTCTTGTGATTCCAAAAAAACCTCCTTTATAGTTCCTTTTACAATGTGAAGAATACACATTACATTTTTGATAATAATAATGTAATAATAATCCTTGCATTTGATGTAATGCCTTTTATGTAAGAAGGGTGTGTCAATGTGCTTTGTGGTATATACTGTAAAGTGGAGGTTGTAGTTTGCAGTTGAATGTTTTTCTAATTCAAAATGTACTACAACCAAATACTTTGTGAAATGTAAAATTTGGTTTTGTGGAGTACAATGATGACAGAAGAAATGAAACTGCATGCTCCTTTTTTTAATTTATAGAGGAACTGATAGGAGTTTAAATATTCAATGACACTGTGTATCGTGAGACGGAAGGCCTGGAAATGTGCCTCACTTGAGAAATTTAAGAGCCAGATCTTTGGCAAAGATCATATCACCAGCTTGCACTTCTCATAGGGTTAATGCCCAATTTAGTTTATACTGTATTGCTACCTCTTATGGTAGTCTCTTGCCTTTGAGGGCAATGTTGTTAACCCAGAGATTGCTTACAATGTCTATGTCACTGCTGTTAGGTGTGATAATGCATCTGTGCAACATTTACATTCTTCAGAAGCAATTACATTCAAGTTTAGAATAATAGAATCAAAAGTATTACAGCACAGAAACATGCCATTCAATCCATCAAGTTGGTGCTTTTATTCCACTTGAGCCACCAAGAATAATTCCACTTAGTAACTATAAGTCTTTAAATTTGCTTTAAATAATTTATGCTCTCTGATAACCTAAACGGCACTGTTTCTGGGGATCACGCCTTTGATCACCGTCCTACTGCCACCTCCCTTCCCTCCACCCCTCCTGATCCCAACCCCCAGTTCACTTCAAAACCCTTGACGGTTCACCTTGGGATATTATCCTGACCTGAAATCCGCTAGACAAATGTAATTTTTTTATGTTATTATTGTGACTGCAAGCAGCAAAGTAGCTAAACGTTTGCCGGTGAGGTAGCTGGTCAGTGTTTTCAGACCAGGACTTAACTGAGTTACCTGCTCAATTGCAGTTGTATTCATTTTGTTGTTGTGCCTGGAATTCCATGCCAAAAAATGAAGAGAGTGATTCCAGGTGCCAACAGTCTCAGTCAAGTTGCTTGAAATGGGTTCTATTTGAAACAGGTTTCTTATAGCTACTAAACTAAACACAGCTTTAAAGGCTGCTTTTCTTATTAGGCATCTTGTGATTTCTGGCTTGGGATTAATAACATAAAGCACACATTCTACTGGCCTCATTAACAGCCTCATTTCCTTCTCCAAAGCTGTCAGTGAAAGGAATCTGTAAACACCTTAGGGCCAGAAAGCTCACTAGGAATGTGGTAGCACTCTTAACAGCAACAGATTGATGGGTCTGAGAATAGGGATGCAATCCTAGGATTACAGCACTGAATGGATTGGTTCTTTATTTCCACCAAGGGTTTTAATGTACAATATTTGCAAAACAGTTTTGCTGTGTTTATTACAATTTCCAGTGTGTGACTTCCAGGGCCCAGAATTTGCTGCAAAATTCACAGCTGGGAAATCATAAGTGTACTGTGGGCAACGTCCGAAAAAAGGTTTGTGAATAAATAGGCCAGGCATTCCCCACGCCCGTTTAATTTGCTGGCCTTGATTTTGGGCTTTCACGACTTGGCATGTGAGATTTGCAGGTTTCATATTTCGCAAAGCGGAAGGTGGAATTAACACAACAATTCTGGTTCGGACAAATTGCAACTTTGACCTCGGTGACCCGAAAAGGATGGGATTGGGTTACAATTAGTATGGAAAGAAGAGGAACATAAATCATATTTGTACAGAAATCAGAATCGTTCACACTGTTAGAAAAGAATTTTACAGTGGGTGCTAATTGAAGTAATGTTGGTGACATACATTAAAATAATAATCCTTGCATTTGATATTGTCCCTTATATTAAATATTGCTGTGAAATGCATTTGTCTGTGAAATCTGTCTGTGCAGTACCTTGGGACGTCCTCCCAACGTGAAAGGCGCTTTACAAATGTAATTTTGTTGTTGTTGTTGTAGGCAATTCTGGTACATTGCATATTCGCATTAAAAGCTAATGAAAAACTGATTTGATGTCCAGTTATAAATTTGTATGGTTTAGTTGTGGGCAATTCATGATCTCTAAGTGCAAACTTCTGTTCCGGGGCAATATCTGCATTGACTGTAGATGTGTTAGAGAGCTCTTGTTTTTGAGGAGATGACTACCGGCAAGAGTGCTTGTTAACTGGTTTATGTTGATTGAAAGTGGCACCATGGTAATTGGTCTATGTGACTCTGCAGGAGGAAGAACAATAGGCCAAATTGAAATGTCTGTGTTGCAGAATCGCAGGAGGGGAAGCGCTATGCCAAACAGCAGCAGCATAGAATACAGCTGAGAGATCTGCAGCTGTCCAAGCAGTATTGTGCCAAGTGGCTGCTCCTTGCAAATGATACTGTGACTGTATTCCTTGAGCTCGTCTAGAATTGCTTAAACTGGCTCATCACATGTCTGGGATGAGCCAGTTTGCTGCACCTCACTATGTAGAATAAGGTTCAAATGCTCTGTTTTCAAAAGCATCCTACAATATTAATTTTGCTTAGAATTGTAAGACACAGGTCTTGAGGCACCAGCATTTCTTTAGTATTGCTGCTTTTAATGTGTTCAGGGTATGACAGATCGTATCAATAAAATCCCTTGGGAGGGGCTCCAAGAATACCAGATACCCATATAGCTTATTTAATCATCAGGAAATCCAGCTTGCTTTGACACACAACAAATAATTTGTTACAAGCACACAGACTGCAACATACTTTTGCACTCCTTTTAGGAATACAAAAATCAGCATTGAGAAAAGACCATACAGGTCTATTGAAGCCCATTCTCTCCATTATTCTACCTCAACGAATACAGCACCCAGCTGCTTTTTGAATGCCCTTAATGTGTTTGTCTCTACTACCCATTCGACGTTTTGTTCCAAAGACATTCATCACTTTTTGAGTGAATAAAGTCTAAAATGGGAATGTCCAGGACTGGAAAAGAATACTGCAGTCCATCGGGCTAGCCCTAAATCTTTTTTTAAAAAGAGAATAATATTACATAACTCTCTTTCTCTCTCTCGCTCATACACCTCAATTGAACTCTTCACCAAATAGCTATCTGATGCCACTTTTCCTGTATTGCTCTTTTGTAGGCTGAAACTGTGTCATTAGATTTTAGTGCTGGCAAGCATTTACCATTTTTACATCGCTTCTGAACTTCCAGAGGGAGCTTGCAGGATATGTAATTTCACATATGCACAAGCATCTGATGTCATTGTGTAAGTCATAATAATCATTACATTTGATTAAGCTCATTTGTCATGCTGTTGAGATATCTCAAAGCACTTCATAATATTTACTGTGACATATAGTGACTTTGTATTTTGTAGGCGAATGAAGCAGACAATTTGCACCTAGCAATGTCCCACAAACAGCCAGGAAGTGAATGACCAATGTTATCTGGGGGATTGTCGGCCAGGACACTGGGAGAAACACCCTTCTCTTTTCTAAAAGTGCCAAGAGACTTTTCACATCCACCTGAACAGGCAGATAAGACCTTGGTTTAATGTATCATTTGAAGGATGGCACCACCAACAATGCAACGCTCCTGCAAGCACAGAACCAGAGTACCAGCCTAGATTTTAAGCTCAAGGATCCGATGTGAGGATTGAACCCACAACCCTTAACTCAGTGGCAAGAATGCTACTAACTGAAGCAGGCTGATGCCTTAGCAAAATTAATTTAGTTTTGCGATCTATGCTTCCAAAATACCTGGCCCGGGGTTCTCTGCAAATTTGACATTTCCTGGTTGCACTACGAGATGATCCATCTAACTTGAGTTTCATTTCCTAGACAGGTCGAGGCATGGAGTTCCAACTTGCTGAATCAGAAGAGGAGATGAGAGGATATGTGATAGAGCCTCATGTCAAGAAATGAAGTGTGGCTGGCAGGAGCACGATGCCAGTTCAGTGTATCACTGCATGTTAGAGACTACGAGTAAGCAATAACATGTAATTATAACAAAGATATTGTGGTTGCTCCAGTACATTTGCCTGATATTCACGCTGCAACATGCAAGCAACTATCAGGGACTTTGCTCCTGAGCTTTCTCCTGCTTCTGCTGACAGCATTTGATTAGCGGATTTCAGAAAAAGACAATTGTAATAGTTATGAAGATCTCTCTTGTCAGGTGTTTGAGCATTCACAAAATGTCATTATGTCTGCGTTTTTCAGCGCTTATCCCTCTGATTACAGAGTCAGACAAAAGTAATGGGAAATCCTGTAGCTCAGTGGTTAGAGCACTCGCCTTGCACGCGAGACACCTGGGTTCGATTCCCGGCAGGGTGAAACCTTGGGCAAGTTTCCTTACGCCACACGCCTGATAATAATCCTTCAAGAAAAAAATAGTAAATTGATCATTTCAATCCACGGCTGTTTATGGAACACTGCTGTGCGCAATTCGCTGCGGCCCACAAATATACAGTCAATTCACTTTACTGTAATATTCTGTGAAGCGCTTTGAGACATCTAAAAGACATGTAAAATGCTAAATCAAATGCAAGGGTTATTATTATTATTTCCTATTCCCAACTGAGGCCATTCCCAAATTTGGCACTGAAAAAAATGATTTTTCAATTCGAGTTGCCTCAAGAAAGTCAACTCACAATATAGAAGTGACATAATTCCCTCTCAGATGTATTGACACATGCTGCCTCCATAGTCCATCCCACATCTTCATCCCTGGGGTCTAATACATGGTTTAGATTGAGAAATTTGTAATGTACCAATTACAAATGTACCTAAATATCCAAGTGGATCCCCAACACTGTTCTCATGCAGGATCCATCAAGCCAATGACAAAGTAAATTGATTTGGATGAAGAAGGCCCTTTAACCTATTTGATCTAATCTTTCCAGAACACCATCTTCCCATCCCACATCAAGTTGTTTTCAAATCTACATATATTTAAAATTGGAAGGACACAGAGAGGATTAGCACAGGTCCTTTGCAAGGATGCCATGCAATTTATATATATATACGTGGAAGGATTGTATTACTACATTATATTATCATATTATACAAATTTGTCAAGCGTTCCATATATTTTCAAAAGGATATTGGAGGGAGTAAGGAATGGATGGAGACTCATATGGAGTATAAACAACGGAATGGACTGGTTGGGCTAAGTAGCCTGTTTCCATGCTGTACATCCTTTGTAATCTTTGTAATGAGTCCAGAGTCCTGGTCTCAACTACACTTCCTAGTTCCGTGAGTGAGATAATGCTTTCACTGATCAGAGATCTCAGTGCAAGCAGCTTACCCATCTCAAGACCCACCTTTTTGACCATGGAAGATCACCTTTCTTCCACACCCCTGCCCTCCACCCTGTCTGATCCCGATCCCCAGCTCAGGTCCAAACATTGATTTTCCAGCGCCTTGGGACATGCTACTGATGTAAAAGGCACTATACAAATGCAATTTTGTTGTACTTACTATACTCATTGAGAGGTGGATTCATTCACAACAACATTTCATAGGTTTTATTGACTCCTAAACAGGTAGAGTAAAAACAACATTCTGGAACTCAACACTGAGGGTTACTACAGCAATGTATTTATCATTTTTTTTGGCAAAACAAGTAGTCTATGCATATGATTATTACCCAGTGGAAATAGACACTAAATGATCATTTTGCACTATAATAATCCTTGCATTTGATATAGTGCTTTTTTCACGTCTTCTTAACGTTTCAATTGCTATTCATTCACTATGAATGCTGAAAGAAAAGACTTGGCAATTCTACGCAAAAGCCCCGTACATTATCTTTAACCCTAATACCCTGTGGCAGGAGTGTTATTTGAACTATGTAAACTATCCACCTCTATCCTACCTCCTGGTGAATTGTAAGATCATACAACACCTTGCAACCTTTAACCCAAATGAAACCTTAAGAAATGTTGATTGAAGAGATTGTACATGGTTCTGGTGAGTTACATGTCAAATAGTGAATAGATTTGTAACTGGATTTCTGTTCTGGCAATGACCTGAAATGCTGAGAACAATATTGGAATCAAGTCAACCCTTCATAGTCTGTATTTTGAGTCAAGCTTGTCTGCAGCACTCCAAGACACCGTTGATATCGGACCAGCCAACCTGGCTCATCGGCAAGTTTTGAAGGGGGAAGCCCACTCTTTGAGGGCATGAATTCTTCCCACGCACCTTTTGTTAACTCTGGAAGTCAAAGCTACACGGGTAGGGTGGTCCTAGCACGACATGCAGTAGATGATTTGCCAGACAGTGTATGTAATGGCTAGCTGTGCAGATCTAATCAATTAAATTCCAGCAGTATCCTAACAGTCTGAGGTCTCCAAACCTTGACTCTTGCCAACCTGCCTAATTATTTCTGGGATTAAGTGAGTAGGATATGTCCCTCAAGGAACAGTGTGTGCAGTCCATTCCAGATACATAGAAATGTTATGCATCTGTGAAATTTTGGCTTTGATACTCTGAAACATGATGATGGATTTCCACCTGTATCAATTACCTGGCTGAACAAAAGAAATTCACATGAGAACAAAGTATCTGTCTCATCTGCTAATGGGCTTCAATTTCACAAGTAAAATTACATGAGTAGTCAATAAAACCGGAACATACGACCATTCTTCTATATATTATTTTCCCAGTTTCTGATTTGAAAGTACACAAAGGCCTTAAAGTATATGTTTTGCAGCCAATAGCATTGATATGATTTCTGTAACCAACTTCAGTGTTGAATTAGTTCTCCGGCAATTACAACAAAAACAACTTGTATTCCTATAGCACACTTCGCATAGGATAGTGAAGAGGAGCTAGCACCAGACGTCTTAACACTGCATCTTAATATCCATGGTTAAGGGGTCACCACTGGTTAAAAAGCTGGGGTTCTCAATCACCATCCGCTGACACTGTATAAAGTAAATGTTACATGAGGACAAGATTGGCCTTTTTCTGGTGCCCACATAGGTCAAACAACCTGGCAACATTTGTTGCCTGAACTCACGAATTAAGAATGGCCATTAAATTATACATTGACACACAAAGGATGACAAAGCCCAAAACAGAGCTACCCTTCATTCATGCTAAAGGTGATTGGGTGACAGTGCGATAGGGCAAGAAGAGGGCTTGTTCAAGGCAGAGCACGCCCAACAGAGTACCAGTCTCTAATCGGTACTCAACATTAGCTATCGAGAGCGTGAAATCCTCTTGTGAGGACAGCAGTGGACATTCTGTCCAACAGGACAAGGGCATGGTTCACAAGGGCAATAGTGTTGTGATAGGGGATTCAACAGTAAGAGGCACTGACAGGATCTTCTGTAATCAGAATTGTGAGGCTAGGATGGTTTGCTGCCTTCCTGGTGCAAGGGTACTGGACTTACAGAGCGCATGGACAAGATTCTGTCCAGAAGTCGTGGTCCATGTGGGGACCCATGATATTGGTAAGAAGAGGGCTGAGATGCTCCAGGGCGAGTATCAAAAGCTGGGGAGCAAATTCAAGTCCAGAACATCCAAGGTGGTGATCTCTGGGTTACTCCCGGTACCTCGGGCAACAAGGCACCATAATGAAAGGATCAGGCGCATGAACGATTGGCTGGAGAAATGGTCCGGAAAAGAAGGTTTCCGTTTTCTGGACAATTGGGACCACTACTGGGGGAGGTGGGATCTCTACCTTGAGGATGGGTGGCACTTAAGCAAGGCAGGGGTGAGCTTCCTTGCCAAGAGATTATCAAATGCTGTAGGGGCAGATTTAAACAAGTGTCAAGCGGGGATGGGTATCCAAGGATAAACAATGGATTAGAGATTAGAGGAAAAAGATAAGTGGGAAGTGTAGAGCAGGTACAAGCGGACAATTTCCTCAAATGCATGTACCTAAATGCATGTAGCTTAGGGAATAAGGTTGATGAGCTGCAGGTTCAACTGGCGGAAGGGTTTACGATGTGGTGGCAGTAACCGAGACATGGCTCAAGCCAGGACAGGAATGGGAGTTAAATATTCCAGGATATAATGTGTTCTGGAAGGATAGAGAAGGACGAAAAGGAGGAGGGGTGGCAATATTAGTTAAGGATACAATTATAGCTGTAGAAAGGAACGAAGCTTTGGAGGGCCCAACAATAAAATCTATCTGGTTAGAGATAAGCAATAAGAAAGGAGTGGTTACACTGATAGGGGTTTACTATAGACCACCAGACAGCGGGAAGGAGATAGAGGAGCAGATCTGCAACCAGATCGCGGATAGATGTAAGGCGAACAGAGTTGTGATAATGGGGGATTTCAATTATCCCAATATAGACTGGCAAAATAGCAGCGCTAAGGGCAAGGCAGGAGAAAGATTCATAGACTGTGTACAGGAAAATTTTCTTGAGCAGTATGTCTCCAGTCCTACGAGGAAGGAAGCATTGCTGGATCTAGTTCTGGGGAATGAAATAGGTCAGGTTGAACAGGTTTCGGTAGGGGAGCATCTAGGTAACAGTGACCATAATATTATTAGATTTAGATTACTCATGAACAGGGACAAAGTACAGTCAAGGGTGAAAATGCTTGACTGGAAAAGGGCTAATTTTGATGGGCTAAAAAGGGACCTAGAGTTGGTGGACTGGCAAGTAAGACTAGCAGGTAAAACAACTCATGAGCAATGGGAGATCTTCAAAGATATGATAGCTCAGGGTCTAAATAGATATATTCCCACAAAAGGGAAATGTGCGACAACCAAGCCAGCCTGGATGACCAGGGATATTCTGTCTAGGATGAAAAAGAAGAAGACGGCGTATGACAATTGGAAGACGCAAGATACTGAGGATAGCAAAGCGCATTATAGAGAATGCAGGAGTGATCTTAAAAGAGTGATAAGACAGGCTAAAAGATCGCATGAGAAGAGGTTAGCGGGTAACATAAAGGGGAATCCTAAAATATTTTACAAGCACATAAAGGAAAAAAGGTTAGTTAAAGGTAGGGTGGGGCCAATCAAAGACAATGACGGCAATCTTGTTGTGGAGGCAGAGGTCATGGCTGATGTACTGAACGAGTACTTTGCATCTGTCTTCACAACGGAAATGGATGCCCCAAATGCCGCAGTATTGGATGAGAGGGTAGAGGAAATAGATCAGATTACTATAGACAGAGAGGAAGTTCTGAAAAGATTGACTGGGCTCAAAATTGATAAGTCACCAGGACCAGATGGGTTTCACCCAAGGTTGCTGTGGGAGATACGGGTTCAAATAGCGGAGGCTTTGGCCATTATATTTCAATCTTCATTGGACACAGGAGTGGTGCCAAGAGACTGGAGAGTGGCTAATGTTAACCCCCTCTACAAAAAGGGGCAGAAAGACAAACCCGGAAATTACAGGCCAGTCAGCCTGACTTCGGTAATAGGAAAACTACTGGAGACCATAATGCGGGACAGAATAAATCTCTACTTAGAGGAACATGAGGTAATTAGAGACAGCCAACATGGATTTGTTAAAGGCAAATCTTGCCTAACAAATCTAATAGAATTTTTTGAAGAGGTGACTGCGAGGGTTGTTGAGGGAAATGTGGTGGACATTATTTACATGGATTTCTAAAAGGCTTTTGACACAGTACCACATAAGAGATTAATAAACAAATTAGAGGCAGTTTGGATTAAGAACTGGCTGAGTGACAGAAAGTAGGTGGTGGTTAATGGATGTTTCTCGAAATGGAAGGAGGTGTGCAGTAGTGTCCCCCAAGGATCGGTATTGGGACCACTGCTCTTTCTAATATATATTTATGATCTGGACTTGGGCATAGAGAGCACTATTTCCAAGTTAGCAGATGATACAAAGTTAGGTAGGGTAGTAAATAATGAGAAGGACTGTAACCAACTGCAAGCAGACATACACAGAATGGTAGAATGGGCTGACATGTGGCAGATGGATTTCAATGTGGATAAGTGTGAGGTGATAGGAGGCAATGTAGACTTGGTAGCTCAATCTTAAGGGGGGTGAACGTACAGAGAGAGATCTGGGTGTTCAAGTAAGCGAATCATTAAAGGTAGCGGG